ATAAGGCAGCCTCCCTAATACATTGGAACATCAAAGACATGGTGGGCGATAATCTGAGGGTGCCCTTGGGTCAACATGCCACGGGAAGGGGGCCTACAGCACATCCAACCCAATGTCACCAAAACAGTGCCTGCCATAGTAGCACAAATGGATATAGTGTCAATTCCCCGAAACTTACAAGACCCTGGTCGTGTGTCCTCTTGGGAACGGAAACCGATCTTTGGCACGGGAAGGGGGGCCTCCTGTAGGACCCCACCGTGACACCATCCATTACTCCAACAGTGGCACAAAATTAATAACTACTTCTGAGCTTTGAGTGCCTTCATTTTCCCTTTAAACTATCATGTGGTTCTCCAATTCCAAGGCTGCACTCATTGGGCAACTATTTTGCCCCATGTTAGCCACTGCTTTCCCCCTGTACTTTGACTGGGTCATGCACGGAGGCCAGACTCAGCCAATGCTAGGGATAGGGCAGGTGTGATCATGATTCGCCACTGGGGTGGGGAGGGTCAGAGGGGTCAGGCAGGGGTCCCTAGCACTGGTGTCTGGGTCAGTGAGTCATGGTGTCCGGGACACGGAGCTTGATAAAGGTTCTTATCCTGAGACTGACTCCCCCTGTCAGTGGCTGCCAACAAGCAATTATGCTCAGGGTACTCCCAGACACTAGTGAAAATTGCTACTGTTCATTGCAGAAAATATGTTAGCACAGCAGTGCTCCCAAGACTTTGCATGAAAGCAGCAGCCTTGAGGAAGTGATGCTACCCCCCCCCCCTCCACTGAAAGATAACTTTTAGTTGTTCTGTGTCTGAATTTCCAAAACCCCACTCCCCAAAATGATTGATGCACTTGCTGGACTTACAGAGAACCTGACAAATGGTGTTTCATGATCCTACAGTACTATTAAGTATTGATGCCCATTTTATGAATATTGGGTCATTTCTTTCAATGCGCACACTGACCTTTACTACAGGGTAGGTAGGGTTGCACCACCCTGGCCCCTTGTTGCTACCACCTCCAAACAGGGCAGTGCAGCACACGCACAGGAATGATAAGGTTCACACACAACTTTATTTGTTATCCCCTTTCTCTTACCCAGATCTGGGTGGGAGTGAGCACACCCCTCACATGCTGAGGGAGGCATCAATTCTTGCAGCAATGACATCTTTGGTATTGGGGGTCAGGGTCATATAGCACTGTAACAGGCATCCATCCAGCCATCAGTGGAGGTTGCATAGAAGATTAGGCTTGCCTCCTGCACCATCGTAGCTAAGTGTCCCAAACCACTAGCGCAGATATGCACAGGGCACCAGCAGGATCAGCAGCAGCAGGGTGTAGTGATTAGGGCAGCCTGCACAAATAGCTCATCATGCATGGGCCAGGCACACGCAGTTGTGACATGCTCTGTGCCCATTGGCATGGTGGGCGGTGGCTGTCCCTGGTTCATCTCCCTGGAGAGCCGCCGGGGGGGGGCTGCCTGGCAAGACCCTCAGAACAGTTGTCCTGCAGCCCTGTGCAACATGACCCTGGGTGCCAAGGGCTGTGCAGCAGTGGATCAGAGTGGTTGTTCTGCATGGGTAAACGGGGGGGGGGGGGGGGGGGGGGGGGGGTAGGAGGGGGGGGGGGGGGGGTGAGGGAAAGTGTTCAGAGTGGTTGCCATGGTTGCCTGTGGCCATCGCCTGGTGGGACACTGCCCACAGTGGGCATAGCAGAGGGAGGGGAGGGAGGAGCCTGCAGCAGTTGTGTATGACTAGTTAACTTACCGTTCTCATGGCATACCACTGTGCATGGCCAAGTCACAATCTGAGGAAAGGCAGGGGACTGCAATAATTACTGAGTATCTTATCTGTGAAATGTTGCATGCAAAGCTTCAAAAAGGGCATCTATCTCTTTGCTCTCCAGAGTCAACATCTGTACACGGGGGAGAGTCCAACTCTGGGTACAGAACATATCAAGGTCACACACGTGCTAAAGATAGAAATTGTTTAAATATGAAAATATAAATCTCTAGGCCTGACAATGACTGTTCTGTCCAAAAGGTGCCACTTGCCAACCCTTTATGGGCAGGCACTTTCCTTTTCAATGCAAGATATTACCCTGCCACTTCACATTTCAAAGAAGGCAATTATCACATACTCAGGCTGAACTCCCTGGCTTTGTTCCCTGCTGCAGCAACAGGAGCAGTTGACTGAGGGATTTGTTAAGAGTTTATCATGGTTTTCACCCCCCCACCCCCATCCACCATCTACTTTTGTGGAAGGAAGTCTCATTACTGCTCTGTCTGTGAGGCAAGTCACGGAATGTTTGACTTTGCTTTCATGCCCCAACACCCAGATCCAGCCATTTGCAGCTCTTCTCAATAAAGAAGGCAGATAGGGGTGGGAAACGCAGTTTTATTTGACCTGAGAACTTACTAAGGAACACATAGGAATGAAGAACTTACTGAAATAGGAACTCCTGTCCCATCAATTGGCTTTCTTTCCAGCCCATGCACCCCTGTCTGATCTGCCCCTTGCTCCCTGAAACTCAGTGTTGCTCTCCTGACCCTGCTGGCATGGGGGTGCCTCTCAGTTGACTGCAATGCTTGTCAATGGGGCAACAGGCTCAGCTGTAATACTCCTGGCTACCTCCTGGGCACAGGCAAGCTGAGTGGAGCTCATGTGCACTTTCTGGCTGGGGGGGCCCTTATGAATAGGGGATTCTTCATGTGCTGAAGGACATGGTCCTTAATCAATGAGTGTGTCTCCTACAGATCCTCATGGCACTGCCTGGCCAACTCAAGAAACTGGTTTGTGAGGTCTAGGAGCTGTTTCCTGAATTCTATGGTGTTGTTTATGCTTTGCGTCTTCCACTTATCATCTGCCCTAAGTATCTCCTGGACTTCATCCTGCCAGTCATCTGTGGTGGTCACTCAGGATTGTGCTGCCTCCAACAAAGCCTTCATCATGCTCTCTCTGGAGTACTACCACATGTGGCAGTATTCCTGCATGTGCTCCTCTCCAGTGCAAGCTGGGGTCTAAGGTTCAGTTGCACATCCTCGGCTGGCATTGGGCATGGTAGCTGGCAACAGGAATAGGAAAACAAAGTGTTCGTGGTGATATATTATTTCCCCAAATGTTAAAAGGGACAGTTACCCACCTCCAACACCACATGTGCAAACCCTCCAGCACATCCAACCCAATGTCACCAAAACAGTGCCTGCCATAGTAGCACAAATGGATATAGTGTCAATTCCCCAAAACTTACAAGACCCTGGTCATGTGTCCTCTTGGGAACAGAAACCGATCTTTGGGTCTGAGGAGGAACTTCTGATGTGTTAACTGCATATGAAGTGGTATCTTCCTCCTCCTCATCTGTACTCACCAGAAAAGGTATCAGATGGACTGGGGTCATGATCAGGGTCACCTCCTCTTGTCTGTCCCTCTCATCTAGCAGCATTGAGCTGTCACCTCATGCCTCTGACATGCTTGCTGTTTCTGTTTCGGGACATACTGTGGCTCCTTCATTAGGTGTGCTACCAAAGACAGAAAGGCTCGCCCACATCCTTGGAGAGAATGATGGACAGCTAGTTGTAGAATGGAGCAATTGGGTGTGCTGCCCCAAGACAAGTGTCCTCATCCTTGGCCCAATGAAACACACATTTCAGGGCCTTGATCTTGCTCTGGCACTGTGTCCAGTCCTGGTTGTGCCCATGTGCCTTCATTTCCTTCGCTATTGTGGTATACACCGGCTTATTCCTCCTACTCTGCAGCTGCTCAATGATCTTTTTCCTCTGACCAAATTTCAATCAAGTCCTTAAATTCTTCCCAGGTCCAGTTGGGGCCACGGTTGATAGATGTATTGGCCTCCTGCTCCATTGCCTGCATATTGGACTTATTATTCTGAGACATCGAGAAGCTTTACATGCCCAAAAATTTGTCAAGACTGAGATCCTGACGACAGAGCTGTGGAATGGTTCCTGGAAAACTTTGGGGGCAGTTATGTAGATATGTGTTGAATGAACCTTTTTGAAAATTCCACATACGCATAATTATGAAGGTGTGAATTGTGTCTCAGAACTGGCAGTAACAGCAATCTGATCAAGTACCATTTATGAACAAAGCAACTGTGATAGGCATAGCCTGGCCCAAATCAAGCCCCATTGTCCTTAGGGATAGGTTGATAATGTCCCACTGCCAATCACACCTGAGCATCTGTGGCTGGCAGCTCTTCCTTCAGGCAAAACTTACCCTACCTTCGCTGTGCCACTTAATAAAGTACTCAGCTGTGCTGGTGTTTTATCTCGTATGATGGAAAGAGAGATAATTCTCTGGGTTCATAATACACTCCATCTTTGACTGCCAGAAAACCAAATTTTTGCAATTAATTATTTCTAAGAGAGTGGGGGGCAGGGGGACCAAAACTTGAACTACCAAGTTAGGGAAGTAGAGCAGGGTACAGGAGGCTGTACAAATGTAGCATGTGTGTTAATGAAGCCCTATTCCAAAACTGGGTGGGAGTCAATTACAGACCATAGTGATTGGTAGAGGACTTGATGGTTCTGGTGCTTAGATGCCTAGCGTAGGTCTTGAGGTGTTAATGGTAGCTATTGCAACATAGTGCTGTCCCTCACACACCCCTGTTTCAAACCTGGATTATTGCTGGGCTCTTTTCTGGGGAAATGCTTCTTGGATGTGCCTATTCACTGATCTGGTAAATGCCAGTATCTTACCCCCAGTATGCATGAACAGGTTCCTGGGTTCATCTTAAACCCCACAAGTTCAAAGTGGATGGGCGGTACATCATCTACCTCACAACCACCCAACACGATACAGGGCAAAGTCTCTGCTGTGCCAGTGTTTAGTGTATGGCCTCCTGAGAGGGGTAATCATTGATATGCAAATAGCAGGTCACTTTCAATGCTAATTGATTTGTATTCAGCTACCATTTTTACTCGGTGCACTGGACAAGAGGGTGGCCCTGTCCATCATGAAACTGGCCACGCCTGCCAGACTCCACTACATCACAAATCAGTTCAGCGTGGATCCCTGCATGGTCAGCATGGTGACTCATGAGGTATGCCAGTTGCTACAGAACATCATGGCAAACAACTGTATTTGTCTCAATAACCCCCAGGAAGTTATTCATGGCTTCAATGCCATGGGGTTCCCTAACTGCATGAGGGCTTGGCTCCTTGGCACAGGTGGGGGAGGGTTGGTATGAGCCTGCAGGAGTCTGCAGCTTTATGGTGGGAGGTGGGTTGGTGTGAGGACAGTTATCAAGACTGGAATAGAGACTGTTCAAAAGTGTCAAACACAGACAGATTAACACTTGGACCAGCTACTGGCTGGGGCTACTGCCCCTGGAGGAAGTTATGCCCCCAACATAAGTTCCTTGGGTAGCAGCAGGTTTCCCTGTAACACACACTCCTGTGGGGTGGGCATTGGTACAGTATAAGTCTGCAGGAGTCTGTGACGTGGTGGGGTGACTTCCTGCTAAAATTCCATCATGAGCTTCCATGGCTATGACTGTACTGAGCTAGTACATAAATAAATGTATGCCATGGAAAGGCTGATTAATGGGGGCCAAAGATGACAGGACAAGATGACAGGACAGTGGACGGTCTCCAAGGAAACTGGCCCAACCTGGTTGGCTGCTTTTTTTTTTATGTCTGTCTGTCTGTCTGTTGGAAGTTACTTATTTGGGCTTATTTATTTGTTTCTTTCTTATTTAATTATTTACTTATTGTTTGTTTGTTTACCTATCTATTTATTTTGATGTTAGTTAGTTATTTGGAATTATTTACTTGTTTGTTTGTTTGTTTGTTTGTTTTATATAAACCAGAAGAGCATGTTTTTTCTAATTTGTATACTATGTTTTTAATTTTTATACAGTGGGTTTGGGGCTGGTATTTAATGTTTAATATTGTTTTATACAGCAATTTATACTTTTCATAGATGTTAGGGTCGGAAGGGACCTCAATAGAACATCGAGTCCAACCCCCTGCATAGGCAGGAAAGAGTGCTGGGTTTAAATGACCCCAGCTAGATGCATATCCAACCTCCTCTTGAAGACCCCCAGGGTAGGGGAGAGCACCACCTCCCTTGGGAGCCTGTTCCAGACCTTG